TCCTCATAACCCAGACACTCAAAAAGTAGTATTGTCATGTATTAAAGAGATTTTGACAATGTACAGTAAAAACATTAGTTTAATTATAAACTGAACTTGAACTTGAAAACTGACTCAATGGTCAAATCATTTTATTTCATCTCAGTTCATTTCACTACATTTGTCATTACTGAATACATAAAGGAAAACCCATGTGGATTTGCCATTCATAGTTGTTGTAATGTTTTTTTTAACTCAGTACTTACCTAGAAAAAAATATAATAATCTGTGGAGATTCACTTGAAAACAAAGGTGATGCAGATGTATGTTAAAATCTACCTCTCTCATAAACAAACAGGCACTTATCTAATAATTGTTAAACTCACATTAATGAACAGATTATTGTTACTACGATTCCCGAATCTCTTAACCCCAATCACTGTCCACACACAGGGCCAGCTGTCCCCAGACAAACTAAGCGTGGACAAAGGCACGTAACTCTGTTCAAGTGAACTGAAAATCGCCCTATTTGTATTCGTTTTAGCCGATTCTCCAAGAATAAATTGCATTAAAGAATAATACAAACTCATAGATCAACACTTTCCCGATTGTAGTCGAGGCTTGCAATATCTATACTATGTCTGTAAAAACAGTTACGTATAGTTTTGTAACGCCAAGACAATAGTTTTGGCGCACCATGTTAAGCCTCAGATAGGCAAGTATCTGCTTGAGTATATCGTATCTAAAATATACTGAGTCAAAAAAGAAACTTCACAAAATGTAATTTGAAAAATAATGAATAATTTTTCTCTGATGATACATCTATGTATCCGAAATGGGATCCCTATCTTTCGACTCTAGAAAAACGTTAGCAAAACCCACTCAAACCCATCCATTCGTCGTGCAAATGACGTGGGTGCCAAATCAGGTTTTGCACGTGCAGTCGATCACGTGATCTTTGCATCGAAGTTTTCTTCATATGCACGTGTTTGCATTGGCCTCAAGAATTGAAAAAACACTTTGAAACCACAGTTCTAACGGTACTTGAAATGCCACGATTGTCAAATGTGCAACGTGAACGTGCCGGGAAGATCAGTTATTGACGTCGCAAGAGCAATGGGATGCAGCCGTCGTACTGTGTATGACTTGCGAGGTCGTCTACAACAAACTGGCACCACTTCTGATCGCCCAAGGTCGGGTCGTCCACGTGTGACGTCACGAGCAGAAGACCGTCAAATCGTCCTAAGTCACCTACGTGACAGATTTCTGCCGGCTACACGAGCCAGGGCTGAGATGTTTAGAGGTCGACTGTCCTCACAGACCTTTCGAAATCGGTTGCGGGCTGCCAGTCTCCATTCTCGACGTCCATATCGTGAGCCAATATTGACGCCGTTTCATCAACGTCAACGTCTGCTGTGGGCCCAACGTCACCTCCGATGGACCCAGAGAGACTGGAATCGAGTCGTCTTTAGCGATGAATCCAGGTTTACCCTCAGATTCGCGGACGGCAGGCATAGAGTCTGGACACGACGTCGTGAACGGCATGCCCAATGTTGTGTACAGGAAGTGGACAGATTCGGGGGCGAAAGTTGCATGGTGTGGGGTGCTTTCTGTGGGAACAACCGTTCCCGACTTCTGGTCATCCGTGGAAACCTCACAGCTGCTGCTTACCGCGACCAGGTGCTCACCCCTGAACTCGTTCCTTTCATGGCGGCTCATGGCCCAAGTCTACAATTCCAGCATGATAATGCTCGGCCGCATACCGCGATGTTGACACGAAATTTCCTTCAAAACGCTGGAATCAACGTCATGGACTGGCCATCGAGGTCCCCTGACCTTAATCCAATAGAGCACGTTTGGAATGCACTTGGGAGAAGGCTTCGTGGTCTTAGGAACCACCCTCAGAATTTGCAGGAACTTGGCGCTGCCTTGCAAGAGCAATGGCGCAGAATCCCCAACCACGTGTTCACAAGCATCAGGCAGTCGATGAGGAGACGGTGTTTGGCAGTGGTGAATGCGCGGGGCGGCCATACACGATATTGAACTGAGAAATTTCTCATTTTTATTCTTGTGACTTGACATTCTGTAGACCCATGTTTTGGAACTGCGGTGTAGCCTAATGGAACTGATTATGGCACTGTCAGTGTATCACACAGATCTCAGCAATGAAATAATAACAATTTAACCATCTTACCAGCTCTTGTTCTTTTATAGTGCCCTGGAGAAAGAATGTGAAGTTTCTTTTTTGACTCAGTATATGTTTTGCAGGCTGAATTTATCAGAAACAAATTTATAAAAAAAAGTCTGCATAGCTGAAAGGTTGCACACTTACTTCCGACCCATGCATTTGTGATTCATTCAAGTATTAGTGAATAAATATGCGTGAAAAAGTCAGCTTCTATGATAACAAGTACAAGTTCCGCTCCAGTGATTTCAGATTCCCGACCGCGCCACTGGAGTTCTATGTCCATCATTCTTGCACATGTTTAAATCATTTCCAGTTTTAAACGTCTCTGGTGTACCTCTCAAATGTTACTACCTCGACTGTGTCCTCGAAGTATCACTTTGATCGTAGTCACCGAACCATCTTCTTGCGTAGATATAAATATGCAACACGCGAACATCTCTAGCAATTTGTCCACACTATTTTGTAGCCTATGAGAGGAAGACCTCCTAGTCCCCACTTTCACCGATGGATGAAACGCTGGAACAAGAAGAATAAGTGCCATGAGTCAAGGGCAGAAGGGGAGGTCACTCCCGGTGAAGAGTTCGAAACCAACACAGCAGATAAAGGCGCCCAAGCGGAAAATAGGAAGGATGCACCTGACAACACAGAGGGCGATGGTAATGGTAAGTATCCGTACTTGTAAACACACACAGTCTTACATATGACAGGTTAAGATGTGTCTTTTGTCGAATGTCATAGCACTGGTTGGGGAAAGAGATACTGGTGACAAGGAACCCGATCCTTTGACCTATCGAGCAGTTCCTTAAACATCAAGGCCACCTCACTGCCTCTTCAATGTTGGGATATTACCGAATTTGTCGAGATAATCAGAAACGTGTCTCGCATGGGTCAATATTTGCCTACCTCTGTCAACGATAATGTCAACAGACTTAGTTCCCCAGGGATACTTCAGCGGTGCACCAATTAGCAAATTCATAAAAATCCTTTCGTCAAGTCGGACTTAAAAGATAAGTGTCATTCCCGTTGGGTAGCAGTGGCGTAGCCTGATGGGTACAGCGATCGCTCGTCAGATCGAACTCCATATTGGTCCATTTTGTTCCAAGGCATGAAGTCCATTTCTGATGTCACCCGACCCGATACTGTAGAAATGTTGCTACAGTCAGTGTCAAATAGACAAACACTTAGTCCCTGAATATATATAATTTTGATAGTAACAAATAAACTCATCTAAATTAAAAAAAGGAGCCCCAAGTGAGCTGAGAAATCTAGACTTGCTTCATTTAGGGCTTTGGCATTGTAGGGAGAGTTAGGCATTAGGGAAAATAACTAAGTGTCATACTACACTCCCTTTTATAAGTTATTGTTTATTAATCAACAGAAAAAGCCCATTGTTGGCAAGTAAAAAAGCATAATCATAGTCGTTGGTGTGCATGGTTCACCCTTTTGTTGTACTTCTATTTTACAGATACAGAAATGAAGGCAGATGACCAAAGTAGAACCCAGAAGTGTGGCAGAGGAAAGAAGGGAAAAGGACAATGTCATAAACACGACAAACACCATGCTGAAGACTCCCAGACCAAAGGCGATGAGATCTCCGGATCTTTGGACGAGGACATGCCTCCACCGTGTTTGCTGGCGGTCCAATGCAATTCTGGGGCATGATGGGAATGCATACTCATGCCTGGGGTGAAGGTTGTTGGAACAGAAGAGGGGGATGGAGACGTAGTGGTCGTGGAAGTTGCAAGAGAAGCTGGAAATGCATCAGTGAGATGGAACCTCGGGACATGGGTTTTGCCGGATGGGAAGATGGACGAGGTGATCCGAGAGAGGGCTGTAGAGGTCACCCTCGAGGTGAAGGTCATGGTCATGGTCATGCACAATGCCCTCGCAGACGCCGTCAAAAAGAGGCTGATGAGCCAATGGAAGCCTGCATTGAAGAAATGCGCAACGTCAAGGCGACTGACGACGTCATCACCCTGGGGGATGAGAACGAGGCGCCCAAGATGTAGGCTGCTGATGCTTCGAAGATACGAAGGCTATTTACAACATATTATAATTTGAATAGTAACCCTGTCATATATGCCCGTGTATATAATTCATTATCAGACGAATTATGTTGTATTATGAGTAGGCCATTGCCTATAATGAGATATTCACTCTTACAAATTGTACATTACATTGTATTCTAATAATGATGGTTTGCTTTGACGTAAATACACGTCCCCATGACGGTATGGCAATGCTGCTCAATACATATTGTGTACATGTTTCATTCGTGGTTGTCGTGTTATATATAAGCTTTTGGCAACATGGTTATTTGCTTTTTGTTTGTTTACATAAAGCTGAATAAAATGGTTTTTTTTTTGTGAACCAAACTATATTTACTTTGTATTTTTCTCAACAAACATGGAGGATTTATGCTTTGTGCCGAATGTCCACGCGGAAATGGATTGATGGTGGTAGATTGTGGGACACTTAACACACAAGCAAAATGATGCTCACAGTTAAGACAGTAGGAGCCACACAGAAGATCACACTCTGATGTCTTAATAACTTCTTTGCACACACACCCGTGAAGATCCGGGTTAGAATATTGATCTTCAGTAGCCCATGCTTGTCGTAAGAGGCGACTAACGGGATCGGGTGGTCAGGCTTGCTGGCTTGGTTGACACATGTCATCGATGCTCATGCTGTTGATCACTGCACTGTCTGGTCCAGGCTCGATTATTTACAGACCGCCACCATATAGCTGGAATATTGCTGATTGCGGCGTAAAACTGAACTCACTCTTTGCACACACATAGGAACCTCACAAAAAAGAACATACATATTGAAAATCAAAGCATTGTATTTGAAATATATTATACTCTGTCTTTGACAAACAGTCTATGCAATGCAATGCAATGCAATGCAATGCAATGCAAGCACTGCAGTGAGTGAGTGAGTTTAGTTTTATGCCACTTTTAGCAAAATTCCAACAATATCACGGTGGGGGACACCAGGCATGGGCGTCAACCATTGTACTCATGTGGGGAATCGAACCCGGGTCATCAGCGTGACGAGCGAACGCTTTATCCACTAGGCTACCCAACTGCTGTAAGTTAGTGAACATGGTTTATCAATTTTTTTTATCATTATCCCATTTAACAGTTGGACACGAATAGGACACTGATGTGAGCCAGAGTTCGAATTTCATGTTTACCTGATAATATTTCCTGGGGTCATTAATCACAATTTCCAACTGGTTGTTTTCGTAAATGAGGTAGGCTCTCTTCAACTGTAGGCCAGGGTATCACAGGCCGGCATAGCTGAAATACCGTTCTAACGAGCGTTTCACTCATTCACTCTAATTCATATACCAAGAGGGGCGGTGGGGTAGCCTAGTGGTTAAAGCGTTGGCTCGTCACGCCGAAGACCCGGGTTCGAATCCCCACATAGGTACAATGTGTGAAACCCATTTCTGGTGTCCCCCGCCGTGATGTTGCTGGAATATTGCTAAAAGCGGCGTAAAAACGAAACTCAGTCAGTCATATACCAAGATCGTTGTGGTCTCCAAAGGAAAACATCGCTGTGTATGTTAAGGAATGTTACTTTCAAGAGTAATTCCAACAGCCTAAAAGCGAAACAACCTATCACAACCACCTATAACGGCCATACTGAAATGCATGAAGTGACTGAATGTCCTTCTGGTAAACACAATATCGATATCACATTGTGCCGAATCCGCAAGAACGAATATCTGGGATAAACCATTTTATCAAATATACATGGGTTATAAATCAACTAAAAGCGAAACAACATATCACACGAAACGCCAAAAAATGAAATGCTTGAAACGACAGAATATCCTTCTGGTAAGCACAATATCTAATCTGTTATACAGACCCGGAAACAAATATATCCAAGAAAGCCCATGCAAGTCTAGAAAATGTGGCAAATCTAGATTTACAGTTTCAGGCTGAAAATGAAGAAAGTCTCTGGGCTTCTTTTCAGTATATTTTATGTTATATATTTTTACTATGAACTGTTTTTTTTTCTGTAAAATATTTCATTTCAGGGACTAGTGTTAGCCAACACAATAAATGGTGCAGAATCTGTAAGAGGAATATTTGGGGTAAACTATATGGTTTATACATTGTAAACTTACTGAAGACTTGCTGGTTCCAACCAATAGTAGATCTGCGAAAGTATAGTTATAATAATAGTGAATGATTTTTTAAGATACTCGTAAAATATCAAAGGCTCTGACTGTACTTTACGCGTTACAAAGTAGACTTTATAAGTTATATGTTGAGCTGACGCATCCTTCGTGACAACAGTTCTCACATTACTGATGAGTAGGATAGCTTGACCTTACGTCATCGAGCTGTTCCAATTACCTCCCCGTGATCTAACGTATCCTCCGCGAAATCTTTTTTTCTCTGTTATCAAGCAAGATGTCTCATCTAAAAGACAGATCTTTGAGGTAGGGTTTCTAAAGTATATCTAAACTTAATTACAGCAAAGATCCAACTGTGCTTTGTTTCACGATACAGGGGTAGAGAGAAAACTATTTCTAAATATCAAGATAGTTCTGTGCAACTGGGCTATTAACTACTAAAGGGACGAAGTTCAGTTCAAGTCAACTGGATTATTGATCGAGTTGATAACATTTGTGAGTGACGTCTGAAACAAATACTTTGGACACAGCCGTTTAAATGTGTATTACGCCATCTGAACAGTTATATGTCCTTGGAAATACATGAAATCCGCAGGTACTACTTGGTTGCCTCCCTTGTTCCACAGTGTGTGATGCACTGGTCCCAGTCGGGCCAGAACATTTCCTTCATACGTTCACAGTAGACGGCCAAGTTGGGGTATTTGTCTACGAAAACGAAAAGTTCACCATATAACACCAAAATATTTATAACATCAATGCACATGTAAATTCGAGTCTTGTAATGCGACCTCATTATAGAGGACATGATAATTTAGTTAAGTAAGAGAACTGGATTTGAATACTAAACATGAGATTGAATAAAATGAGGTTGACACGTAGAAAATGTAAAAACAATAATTGGAGGTTGGTGTTTTTTAGATTGTCATTAGCATTGAATAAACGCAAAATCGAAGTTCTAAATCAATTGAAATGAAATACACGTGTAAACCTTGTCCGTTCATGTTGTTGGTTTGTTGTAAGCCGCGATTTGTAAATAGTCGAGTCTTAACTAGACAATCCAATGATCAACATCATGAGCATCGATCTACGCAATTAGAATACTATGACATGTGTCAACCAAGACAACGAGTCTGACCAGCTGTTCCGGTTAGACGCCTCTTACGGCATGCATAGGCTGCTGAAAACAAATTCTAACCCGGATCTTGACGGATTCTTGTTTGTTTACAGAAACACACTTTCACAAAAATGATGACAAAAGGGTGCAGGCACTTCATGCACATTACGTAATCGGTATCCGTTGGTTGGTACAGAACATTGCAGAAACACACATTAATGCAGGCATTAGCAGAATGCTGCCTCCATGTGACAAGATGGTTTTGTCTTATACATCCTGTGTAGACTACATACACTACATACCACCCGTGAATACTCTCTGCATATTTGAACCGTTTCCGCTTATGGAAGCCATCGAATCAAGACAAGGTTTGTTTCAAGAGGGAAGGAAAGACAGCTAGTGAAAGATAGCTAATGCTCTGACCAATTATCAATAATGCTCCTTACATTACTTTCACTAGGGTAGGGTTCGCAAAGAGATGATGCGCGGAGTTTGACGCTTGTTGACTAAAAGTACACAAACGCCACAACCAAATCGCAAATTGGCCGTTACTTTTGAAGGGGGATTGAATAGCTTAATGTTTTCAAATATTGTATTGATAATGTATCTGAAGGTACTTGCCCTTGATAATGTTCTCGTGTCCAGTGCCCGTGAAATGCCAGTAAACCTGTGACAGCATACCGAACACGGCACAGTCCGTCTCACAGGGCTCGTCCCCCATCAGGAACTTCTTGGTCCCTGGAACATCCAGCATGAGGTGTTATAAGTATATGGGCATGGAGGAAAACACCGGACAGATACAAAATACGGCATAAGATTAATGTGTCGTTTGTCGTGGTGGATATTGAAAACAGTCTGAAAACCACTGAATATTTATTTGGATAAATGAAGTATTAATTAGCTTAGATGTGTAATAAAGGAATGGTCAAACAAGTAGATATATTCTATTTTAGAATATAGATCATATTAAACCCATCGTTGTGTTCTTGTCATTACACATCCAATAACAATAACTTTAATGTAATGTCCCAGTGATAGTCAGAATATAAACAAAATTTCAAAGATTGTCAACATGTATGTAACATGCTTCTTTCTAATTAAAAGGCGGGATTTGATCAATTCGTCAAAGTAGCGGACTCGAGTCGCACTTCTGTTGAATCATTTGAAGCTATAATTTTCAACCGAATTATGTTACAGCTGTTGGTACCTGCACTTCGTTGGACATTTAGTAATATTTCAAAGACCAAAGTAAAACGACGATAATAGCAAGGCATTCCAGTGAGCTCCCCATTGCTTTACTGTAAATAGCAATTCTGCATCTAAAACATTTGTTACTCCCTGTCGAATGAGGTTAAAAAGGTTGAAAAGATGAGCGAAGATGAGATTTGTCTATACACAGGACTTATTTAATGTGGAGTTTTAAACAAAGAAGTAGATATGAAGTGGATATCCAGGAACGATGTAACAGAAAAGCCAAAGGTGGTCAGGTGAATATCTAGATTGCTACGGTCATTGTTTCTACCCTGTATCAGTTTACTACCAATAACCTCCGATATAGCCTGGATATCTCTCTCCGTTGCACACATTTCGTGCACATTACGGAGAGGGGCTAGTGGCGACGAATGATCTTGAACTATCATCCAACTATGGATTTGTTAATTCTCAAACACGGGCAATCTTTAATTATAACTTTAATTCGTATACTAAGTAAGCATTACTAGAGCTTCTGCATACCTATGAAGTCTGACAGGGACTGCAGATCCTTCTTAAACATCTCAGTTACCTCCCCTTCTGTGTGTCGGCCCAAGCCCTGATTCCATGTTTGCTTCTTAATATTTCGTCGAATTAGCCAAAGGAGGAACGTCCCGAGTTTAAGTGTCTTCATTAACAGAGATTTGTCGTTGTCATATACCCATCGGAAGAGGACAAGGAACCTGAAACGATAGAACTATTCCTTCACAACTACAAGTAACATAACACAGAAACAGGACATGTAGATGCACACACATAATCTCAGAGGAAATGAGGTGGGGAAACTATTGAGTCGTAATAGTTGGCTAAATCGTGATGGTTAGATCGGAAATTTGTCATTCCTGCAAGGATTATCGGTTCCTTACTGTCAACTGACAACCGTGAGACCATTCGAAAAGGTACGAAACGTTGTTTGTCACCGGAAGTTCGGAGGTCTCGCGAAGTGCCGTGACCTACTTACGGTCCCCATACAGTCTCAACAAAGACCTGGGCCAGTCATTGCTTTATCCCCGTGCGCAAGGCTTGGAAAAAAAATGTGTGGCATTGTTACGTCCTTTTGTTTGACGGGGCGGTTGGGTAGCCTACTGGTTAAAGCGTTCACGCCAAAGGCTCGGGTTCGATTCCCCACATGGGTACAATGTGTGAAGCCCACTTGTGGTGTCCCCTGCCATGATATTGCTGGAATATTGCTAAAAGCGGCGTGAAGCCCAACTAACTCACTCATTCACACATTTTTGTTAGAAGTGGCCAGGAGATCGAATCATCGACATTCACATCACCAGACTGACGCTCCATCCTCAAAGTGTTTGCTTTGTGGTCCTTGTGGTTTCGTTAACGATGGATTACAGATAGATTTGTTAACAAGCCTATCGATGTTTGCATGGGCATATTTCTCACCAGTACATGTGTTCCTCCGCCATAACCTGCAATGCCTGAGCTACTCCTCTGTCAGCAGGACTCAGGTTCCTGTTGAGGTCCACCCCCAGCTTCTTGTTGAGGAATTCAATGCACAGTGTAGAGTCCGCTACTGCCTGTCCATTATACTCAATCCAAGTGAGTTTGCTCTTTGATGACATCTGCATCCCATGGACGTTCTGTGTGGAAGATCAGAGAGGAAACTTACAACAATTCCACAAGAAACACTATGCTCAATGAAATGTTAGTATCGTCTTGCTTGGATTGTAACTAAAACTGAAAAGACCCCAACAAACAACCAAGACAAATTTCACACAATCTAATGACGAGAGAGGGGATTGGCAGTTCCAATCAACCCGATAGTTTTCCCTGTGTTCATATTCCAGTAGACTAACAGCTAGTCTTTGCAATGAACATTTTTTAAAGAAAATAAAAGTTTGTAAAATTAAAATTAAATACAACAAAAAGGAGCCCAAAGACTTTCTTCATTTTCATTTGTGGTAAAAACTGTGGTAATCTAGACTTGCCACACACTCTAGACTTGCATGGGCTGCATTGGGCATATTTGTTTCAGGGTCTGTATGACAGACTAATATTCCAGGACAAACTATGTTTATGTCTCTGATAACAAAATTTTCATGAGTAAAGCTACACACTGGAACCGAACGAAAGGAGCAACAGTGGGTGTTCTATTGCGTCTCCAGTTTTAATTTAGGAAGACATTCAATATTCACGTGGAACGAATCAAAACATTCTTGCCCTCAATGGCTATTCCGAACACAGATATGCATGTTTAATTTTACTGCACGTCAGTTTGTGTGCGATTGTGCCTTTGTAATAGCAGTTTTATAAAATTGCAATAGTAGCAAAGCCGACACAGAGCTTTTGGTCCTATTACACAGTTTTAGACAATTCAGGCTTGTTTGCTGTTTGACTGTTTTGTGGATTGTGGATGCTGCTGGTAACACAGCAGCCTGCTAACAGTGTGCCCTCCAATGAACTGGCCGCCAACGTGCCACCACTGCATTTAGATATAATCTGTGGTGTTTGTTAGACTTTGCTATTCTTTCGATACCGTGAAGATGCGGGTTAGAATGGGGAACATTCCACAGTTATCTCCCTTTACCGCTTCGCCAATAGATGGCGCCAATAACTACGGTCCTAAGTGTACTTCCGGTATAATGATGGCGTTCAAAGTTTGTTGCACGGTGGATTTCAAATGCGCAGCAATTACATGCCTGAGACGTGCTGCCGTGCCGCGGGATCTTCAGTTATCCATGCTTGTCGTACGAGGCGACTAATGGGATCGGGTTGTCAGGCTCGATAACTTGGTTGACACATGTCATCGTATCTCAGTTGAGTAGGTCGATGCTCATACTATTGATCACAGGATTGTCTGGTCCAAACTCGATTATTTACATACTTTTCACTATTCTTTAGATGACTGCTTCTCCACCACTACTCCCTAAAACCAGAAGTAGAGAAGATTGAGAGAGATCAATATTCACGGTGGAGGAATTACAGTAAAGCCTGACCCTCAGCCGCTATTCATCATATGGCTGTGTACAACTTACCTGCCTTTATGCCCCTCATTACAAGACCGTGATACGCAAAGTCAGACAAAGGTGCAACAACTGAAGTTTCATCTCGCTTCCCAACACCGGTTTTAGAAACCGTCAGCCGTACAACCCAATAACAGAGTGACATATATGAACATCGAACTGGTTACCAACGTGCAACCACCACCTTCAAACAGATCAATATGTCATGCCCAAAGACTGGATATTTTGTCCGTCCCTTCTTCAAAATATGCAAGGTCTTCCTACAAAAATTAACTATTCTTGTTTTAGGAAAGCAAATGTTTTCCATTGCAGTATACACGTCCATGCATTTTCAAAGTAAAACTTGAGGACATGTTATATTTTTGCATACACTTTTTCAAAATACCATTAACGAATTTTTACAAGTACCATGACATCAGATCACATCAAACGCACTCATTCACCCACCTGGTAGGGTATCCTGGCCATCCGGAGGTAGGTCTCCAGCTTCACAGCAAATGGCGTCATGCTTGGGGCATAGGGACCTCTACCGATCTGATGATGGATCACCGTATCGCGAGGATAGTCCTTCTTTGCCTCTCTATAAACAAACTGATCACTGTAGGTGTTGCATTTTAAACATATATGTCAAAATTAACATTAAAAGAAGCTTCAAGTATACTGTGAGGGCACAAAGCAGTGTTCATTTATTTTTAATTTAATTTACATAAAAGCGAAAACCCCTTTCGATACTCTTCTATCCATCATTGTTCTCACTTCTCAGACAAATCTTGCATTCCAATTAAGTATTTCGAAAAGCAGTTACGAAGCTAACTGCTATGCCTAGCGTATATTTATTTGTGTACCGCGCAATACAACGAGTTGTAAGATTACAATGATAAACTATTGCTTTGCTGAGGTGGAATTATTGATTGACATACGGAATGCCATCTAGTAAATTGATCATGCAAAGGAAATCGTTTAGAGACGCTTGAGCAGTTTGTTAAATAAAACAATCCCATTCTAAACCCATCTAATATTCTTGGCCTCTCCGCCATATCAAAGATGAGGACAAATTGATTGTCAGATCTTTTCTGAACGAATTTCTAGGAAAGGATCCCAGTGACCCACCCGGACGCACCCCAGAATATCCAATACCTGATCCCTTAAGTCAAATAGAACATCAGCTCATAGTTTGTATCTAAACTAAATAAGCAATGGCATAACATTCGTCAACATAAAACACAAGTCAGTTAAACTGTTTCATGTGTTTCGTAATTTATATCTAGCCAAAAGGGTCATGAAACTATCAAGAAGACTGTAAGACAAGAGGAATAACTTCAACATTCTACCAGCGACCCTTCTTTTTGTCGAGCAATATTCCTGCAACTCCAGCCTTCGGGGTCTACATTTCAGAACTTAGCGATACAGTCGAGCATGCACTTTCAATGCAGATTTGAGTGTATTACGAATCTTGCTCAATAGTTTTGTGATTGGATACAACATTCCTCAGACTTAGCAAGGCATTTGAAATGGTGTATTTTTTTCGAAATACCAACACATTTCACTATTTTCTTATGTACCATATGTTTGCATGTTTGTTCAGGGCAACACTCACCTTGCTTTTCCTGCACACATGTTTCATGCGTACTATAATATGTTGATATTATTTCGTTTCGCTATTGTTCCAAATTTATAATGTATATTTCACGTGATAATGCCTGTCTCGCTTTTATATGCAATCAGTGTAAAACCTCGTGGCGTGTCCAGAACCAGAATAAAAGGTACCGAAGCCCATCCACGTGTCATCTCTGACTTTCACAGCATTGAGACACAGGTACCACCAGTTGGGTTCTCAGTATCATCCCAATTTGATATTTATACAAGAACGCTCGCGTTATTATAGAATTGAAGAATGGCCTGTCCTTTTAGTAGATTTCTTATGATAAGTAGAGTATTTTGCTTTTGTTCATTCTAAAGTGCCGGGAAGTTTAAATGGGACAGCAGGATTTGACCAAAAGTCTTTTTACAAAACGTTTCTAGGCGGAAAACATTGGCCGAAACAGTGCAAAGTTTGAATCCAAAACACAATCATGATACCCGTATCAAATGACCCTTAAATGACCAGTTTCAGTTTAATTCATTTTCTGTTAATTACTTAGATTGAATACTTGCTCTTGCACGGCAGTTTAAAAGTTACCAGAAATCTATGTATATACTTTTTGTTTAAATGTTTTCTATTGTAACCAGGAGGATTAGTCAAAATGCAGAATGGTATAGGTCGTCGTCGTAGTGCGAGATTTTGCGTCATGGATTGTTGACAATTTCTGTTAATTTTTCAAATTAATACGATGTATCGACTTCTCAAGCCTAATTCTTGATACGACACTATTCCCATGCATATTCTAAGATAATTGATCTGATGTGCTGAAAAGACGAACGAATCTCGCTATTGCTACAAAGTGAAAAATCTGAATTTTGCTTGGTTATTAGTAGTATTTCACACAAGTTCACTTCTCCGAGCATGGCGTCCTTTTCAACATCTAGTTTATTTCGCTTCATTTCAACCTGGCATTTTATATTCCTCACAACCTCACAAAAATTTTATTATCTGTTTCCGCTTGAACTTTTGTACCTTTGAGGTCGTTAAAGTGCATGCATCTTGAGACGCCAGCCACTTCTTGATGTGATGTAAACCGATATCAAATTTCCCTTCCTTTTTCACTATGTAATACCGTTTAGATGAACCTGAAAAGGAGGCTGGTTGTTTAGGATTAAAGTAAATGCTGGACAAATACTCCTTCCATCCTTCGGCAGGCATGGTTGGGCTTGAACTGAATGGAAAACAAATATAATCTAACTTTATAAGCAAGGCTATCACCCATTCAGAAGGGTTTGTTTACACTGTCGTATGTCCCGAGCTGCATGTGTGTGACCTAGTTGACACGACCGTCTCGATCTCGCTATGTGAGGGATCCTCTCAGTTCTAAAAATAGTTCGTGTATTGCACCACAACTCGCAATACTGGTGACGCGTTTCTATAATTAGCTCGGCTCCATCGGCTCCTGGGGCAGAACACCCAAAGCACTATCATCAGTGAACGACATACAGCCTTGTCAGGCAATCACCATTCAAACAAGCTGCTGAACATTACCGAACAAAATAGAAATTCCGTATTTTTTCTCAAACAGCTGATCGTGAGAGCTATTTCTGTGTGCGAGACTTGAAAGAGAAACTTCCTCTTCAAACAAACCGCTGGTCTGTTTCGAAAATGTAAATACAGAACAAGATAATGTGAATGAAATCCTTACCACATGGATGATGAAGGGGTTAACAAGTCTGCCCTAGCCAGGGACACTCCTGTGTGGAAATTGCATCAAGACTATGTTTCTACATTACCTAATTATAGATAATAATACAAACCGCATATGGACTATACAGTCCGATCAACACTTACCAGTCACAAATCTGCATGTCAACCTTTACTGTAGTTTGCTTTTTTTCTTATTTTTGGTTGGTTTGTTGTTTAACACCGCACTCAGTAATTAATATGCCAGCTATATGGCGGCGGTCTGTAAATAATCGAGTCTGGACCAGACAATCTAATGATCAACATCATGAGCATCGATCATTGGGATGCGATGACATGTGTCAACCAAGTCAGTGAGCCCGACCACCCGATCCCGTTAGTCGCCTCTTACTACAAGCTTGGGTTGATGAATTCTAATCCGGATCTCCACGGGTCAGAAGTTCTGAACTCGGTACCGAAACAACTTCATCCGACCTGACCCGGCACCCGTTACATTCGCTCACTTACATGAATTTAAATTCTTTAAAAGTTTTACCTTAAACATGCCAATGTTCTTCGAATTAAAGTTTTGTTGTTAAATACTTGAATTTGACTGACTGATTGAAACATATTTTATTCAATTAAGAAACGGATTGGGCACAAGTTATCCAACTTAAATAAGCCCTCTCCACATAGTGACAAGTGTATATTACAAAAAAGTTCAACAAGAGGCAGACAAAGGGTATAGATATGTACAGACAGAGTTATTTAAATCGTTTAGAGTTATGGATGTAGATATGTACACTTTTAAAAACATTCTGATTTTTGCTAAGCGAGAGACCTGCATTGCCATTTAAGATGAGATTAATATCAATACATGCTCTATTATTCACTATATTTTCTAAAGAGGTTAACATTTGTTCTCTTTGAATTATATATACATCTAAACGTTAATTAAGCACCGCCCACTTTTTCAGAAAAGTTCAACATTCAAATCATGAAAAGTGCAATTTCATGTCTGACTCAATGTAAATAGGATTGATTGTGCTGAAGGGATGTCCTGCACGATCACTACACAGAAAACGAAGCCGATGATTATCTTTGATAGCAATTTATTGGAGTTATGCTAATAAGCGTCAAAACGACCATTTCATTAGGCCTGAAAAGTATCACTGTCCAGTCCATACTGGTATCTGCAATGTCAAACGTTCAACTTAAATATGCTTGTTGTCATCATGGCTATCTCTAGAAACTGTTTAGTCAGTATCGGGATTATCCACCTCTAACACGAATCACATTTTCAAGACGCCTTCTCGTGCTTGAAATGAGACGTCTGATTCTAAGCATCGGGATTCTCTGCCACTCCTCGTGAAGAGCCTGTTGCAGTTCATCCATATTCTGCACAGGAGGATCTCTGGCTCTCACTTGGCGCCCAAGATAATCCCATAAATGATCTATGGGATTAAGATCCGGGCTTCTGGCTGGCCATGGAATAGTGTCAATAGCATTGTTCCTCAAATGATCGACTACTGCTCTGGCACGATGAGGCCTGGCGTTATCATCCATGAACAGGGGAGTACTGGCAGGTGTGTGATTGTCAAAATGGGGTATTACGGCAACATCCCAAGATGTCACGTTGATAACGTTGTCCGTTTAACGTTCCCGGTACTGTGATTAGGTCCAGTTTGCAGTCGAAGGACACACAACCCCACACCATCACTGAGCCACCGCCAAAGGGGACCGTTGGTTCAATCATTTCCTGGTGATAAGCTTCATTGCGGCGGCGCCAGACACGGCTGCGGCCGTCAGTGACGTGCAAAAGGTAACGACTTTCGTCCGTCCAGTGGACTCTGCGCCAGCATCGGAGATTGTGGTTTTGCCTAACCTGCACCACGCCAGGCGTTCTTGCATGTGTCTGTCAGTGAGAAATGGACGTCTGACTGGTCTACGTGCACGCAATCCTGCAGCTCTTAACCTCTTTCGGACGGTACTTGTGGACAGTCTGACGCCCACTCGCCATTGTCTACGGAGGTCTTCAGCATGGGTCATTGGATTGCGTCTGGCTAAGCGAATTAAGGCCCTGTCGTCACGAGCACTAGTTTTTCTTGGACGTCCAGGTCTGGGTCGGTCTTTGACGTCTCCAGTTTGCACGTGCTTTCGTACCAGTCGGCTAACAATGGGGTGATTGAGATTCAAATTGATACCAATTTGACGGCATGATAAACCGGTTTCATGCATGCCAATGATTCTCCATCGTAGGTTCTCGGATAGCCTACGTCTCGGCATGTTGTATTGGAACAGTACAATAAGATCTGTTGCTTCAACGTTCACATTTCAGCCACCAAGTATCAAACAACAATACTGTGTTTTCTGTCGAAAGACCCCGTGCATGTGTATCGAGCACGTGCATCTTCTGTATTGCGCAGTTTATGTCTGCGATATGTGTGATGCATGGGCAATACAGGCATATAGCATACTGTGAAATTTCATTATCCTTACTTGTCACTAATTGATAATATTTACTTTTGAATTTGGTGGTGCTTAATTAACGTTTAGCTGTATATAATGGACATTCAAGAAAATAATGAAAAGCATTTTCACAATTATGGCCACACTGACAAAGTGCATCATTTCTAACATTAATTCTGAATAAATCATAATTAAGTGTACTTGTCATATATCTTAATCTTGTATGCAAAACATTTAGTTTCCTTTTCCCATATGAGAAATATACGGGTGCACATTTTTGTTTCACATGAACTGCAGTTTTAAAAGACACAACAGATTTACAGTTTCTGATAGCTAAGGGGATGTTATTCCACAGTTTAATTGTTGATGGAAAAAAGGATAGAGTCGAATATCGTAGTCTTGTACAGGGGTTGAGTGTAATTACTGGAGTTTCTTAATTCATAATTTGTTCGACTACCTACTACAGGAGGGAGTAAATCATAAAGAAAACTTGGAGCAAGGCCTGTATGTATCTTATAAAATAACGATAATTTTTTCACCCTTCTTCTCTCAGATAGTAAATCCCATCCCGTTTCAAAGTATAATGATCTAGAAGAAGCATATCTCTGCAGACCAGTAACTATACGAGCCGCTTCAAGTTGTAACTTTTCTAATCCATTAGATTCTTCAATAGAACACCCGTCCCATACTTCAGATGCGTACTCGAAATGTGGTCTTATGAATACAGTATATATGCTTGACAATGTTGTTCTATTCAGGAGAAACTTTAACTTTCGAAATGCTCCAATCATTTTAGAAGTCTTTTTAACAATACTTTCAATATGATGGTGCCAACCCCATTACATGAAAATGTTAGTCCCAAATGTTTATGAAAGTCAACTGGTTTTACATGACAATTGTCAAATTCCAAATTAATGTCTGTTTGGCCATCTTTCGTCGTAAATAGCATAGCTTCCGTTTTGTCCGGATTATAAGAAATTAGCCAGTCCTTTGCCCAATTACATAATATTTGTAGATTTTCTTTCATTATTCTTTCCATCAACTGCTTTTCTTTTGACAAGGCTCCCAGTGACGTGTCGTCAGCGAAAAGCCGAGTTATACAATGTAGTTTATCTGCTATCTCATTTACATACACAATGAAAAGAAAGGGACCTAAAACTGATCCCTGTGGAACTCCTGCTTTTAAAACCAAAGGCTTAGATAACGAGCCGTGAACAGAAACTGATTGATTGCGACCACTTACATAACTATCAAACCAATCAAGTAACTTTCCACTTACTCCGTACCTCTCCAATTTAAGCATAAGCTTTGAATTTGACTTGTTTCCATGGAAACAAAAGCATACTAAAATGTTTTATATGACGTTGGATTAAGATCATTCTATGAGCATATCATAACTGATTTTCCTCGTCGGGCCCGGGGTCATATATTTGCCTCCTCATAATTCGGAAATTCCAAGGATTATATGTTACACTCTACAAACGATATACATAATTCTCTCTTGCTTAAGGACCGAATGCTTTTTGTACAATAAACTTCTTAAGACGTCTTTTGACTTCGACTTTGACAAACAAAACCAAAACAGGTAAGAGACCACTAATATGCTGGGTTTTAAAAATCCCAACCACCGAGTAAATATGTACATTTATAATAATTAGAATAGAACACCGACGTGAGTTTTTATGATGTACCCGATATTCAACAAATTCGCTTTGCCTAACACGGCAGTGGGTGATATCAGGAAATTTCAAATAGTAAGGTTTATTTGCGGGTCTGATGTATTTTGAATCTTATGCAACTTTAAAGTCCGGGTTGAAGAGGAGTAACATGGATGTCTCCCTCTGGCAATCCATGGGGGTGAACGGACTTGACTAACGAGTGTCACCTTTACACTCACTTGATTGCATATGGACGGGGTTGTGAGGTGAGGTAAGGTGAGGTGAAATTGGGTTTAACGTCGTGCTTGAGAATATTTCGCTCATATGACGACGTGCATGCGTGTGGATGTGTATGTGCGGCTGCTTGTACTAGACTGAAGCTGGTTTTATAGTGCTAGCCCACTGAGATACCATGCCGCAGTGAAGCATGAACACCCCACTCAGACACATTATACTGACTCCGAGCCGACCAGTCCTTGTTGTACCCATTAATGCCGAGCGCCAGGCAGGGACCAACAAGTACCACATTTTAACGTCTTTTGGTATGACGCGGTCGGGGATCGAACCCGCGACCTTCCGCTCTCCGGGCGGACGCTCTAACCACTACACCACGGAGGCGGTTATGGACGGCGTTGTATAAACTTGAATTTTAGACCCCTCGGTATAAAGTTACAGACCGATCTGAAGAGCGAAAAGCTCTGTCTAAATTGCTGTTTTAGCGACGAAAGACCCTTTATTTCTTTTGTGGGGTAGCCTAGTGGTTAAGGCGTTAGCTCGTCACACCGAAGATCCGGGTTCGATTCCACACATGGGCATAATGTATGAAGCCCATTTCTGGTGTCCCCCGCCGTGATATTGCTGGAATATTGCAAAAGCGGCGTAAAATACTCACTTACTCACTTTGATTATGGGATGTGTTTTATTATCCTACCGGATACTTTCTAATGGTAGCATATTTGCTGTTTCACCGGTTACACTATCAGACTCGCATGTCTAGCTCTTCAAGTGTGACAACTTACTTGTGAAATAGTTTCCTGATAGCGACGACTGACACCACAGCTACAAAAACACCTCCGACAGCATGCAGCACTTTCTGTGATGTGTCCATGTCGCTATAAGCATTCACGAGAGTCTCCATTGCTGATGGCCTGCGCCTTCCAGTGTTGTCACTGTTCACTGCACAGTGTTAGAAACAGGTCAACCTGAGTAACACCCACAATGCTAGCGGCAGTACTAGGTCATAGAGAAAAGGGGAATAAGCGTTGAGCGAAGCAATCATCCAATGGGCTTGCGCTCGGGATATCGTTTACTGCGTGTTAGACGAATGCTTAGTCTCTGAATATATATATAATTTTGATAGTAACAAACAAGCCCATTTACATTGAAAAGGAGCCCCAGGGAGACCAGAGATTCCTGAACCTGAGGAAATCTAGACTTGCTTTACTTAGGGCTTTAGCACTGCAGAGATGGCTTGGCAGTGGGGAAAATAATGTGGTTCAGGGACTGTGAGACAGACTAACTGCGTGTGGGCACAGTGGGATGAAAACCGTAAAAATGTGCATTGTCCTGCCCGATGGCCATAAATTATGAACGGTCTCAAACTCAACTGCTTCCTGTGATAAAACAAACCTCCAGGTAAGGGTTAAAATCTGTACCTGTTCAGGCTAACATTCGGATTCGTGTCTGCAGCAAATAGCAACACCCATTCCCGTATCGAATTTAAAATCACCAATTACACATAGATTACGAAAACAGATTAAAGGGGTTAGAGATGTATGATTAGAGATAGCTGCGATTCTCCTCGCCATTATTGTTCTCATTCTGTTCAGAGTAGTTGATGTATATGTTAGACATTGGGTAACTTTAGTCATGTTTACAACATCCGAGTTAGTATTCAAGGAATTATTAATGTACTTGTGAAGCCATGGGACAACTTTAGACCTGTTCACAACATCACAGTTAGTAACTTCTTCGAGAGGCATTTTAGAAGTTGTATAGATGAAGGAAAACCTAGTTCTATGGATAGTCAACTTCTTTATTGCAGTGAGTGCGACGTTTCGGTGTAGGTACTAACACCGTTATCAAGCAAGTACCTACACCGAAACGTCGCACCCATTGTAATAAAGAAGTTACAGCGAAACGTCGCACCCATTGCAATGAAGAAGTTGACTATCCATAGAACTTGGTTTTCCTTCATCACAGTTAGTATTCAAGGAATTATCAAGGCAGTTGTTGTATTGACATTGGGTAACTTTAGACCTGTTTACAACATCACAGTCAGTATTCAAGGAATTATCAAGGCAGTTGTTGTATTGCCATTGGTTAAGATTGGACCTGTTTACAAAACCACAGAGCAGCGTTAATCGTCACTCACTCATCCCTGTGAGGAAAAACGGTTCTTAACTACATATAAAAGCAAACATTTATTTAAACCTCATAAACAAATTGCGAAACAATTGCAGATATATGTCTGCTCATAGATACAGTGAATATTATCCCATTCGGGAAAATACAAACAATTATATAAAACTGATATGGAAGAAAACAAATGAACACAAAAGTTATGATGAGATGGAGCTTACGACAGGTTATGCGACATCACAATGGTTGATTTTAGTAAACATTGACGTTAAAGTACATGTTTGTTCTGTTTACATTTCAGTTCCATGTCAGAAAATGATCAAATCCCTGCAAACATATATTTACATTGTGTACTGCTGTAACGTAGTGTTTGAAACTGTTATTGATAACTTTCCTCAAAGAAACCGATAATATAATATATCACTAAGTTTCACCAATGTGAAAAGTATGAATTTAGAAACGATAAAGGGAAGTTCAGTTATGAAACACATGCTCCCATATCTAGGCAAGCAACTACGCAGTATGTACAGCACGTTGAAGACTTTCCCAGAACACCTCCTGACCTTCCCGATCATCCGTGTACTCCAAGTAGGAGTCTTGACGCATTAATTCTACAATGTTAGGGGGCAGATTCTTCACTGGGATCTTCTCCAGGATTACCACCAGCAGTGTGTTCCGTCCAGTGTAGATACTCTCCATCTTAGCCATCTCCACTTCGTACTTACACCAGTAGCTCTTCAGGAAGTTCCTTGACAGGATTATCACTGACCTCCTGCTTGATCTGATGGCGTTCAGGATGTTTGCAGCAATAGCTTCCCCCACAAGAAACTCTCGAAGGTGGATACAGAGTCGAAGTCCATGCTGTCCTTCCAATATCCGCCTTATGTCCTCCACAACAAATCCTCGGTCCTCGTCAGCATAGGAGATGAAAGCATCAAGCTCAAACTGAGGTCCACCATCTTCTTCCTCCTCTACAGCCAGATAACCCTTGTGTTTTATTCGTACCAGATAGTAAAGATACCTCAGTTTCCAGCTAAACCTGAACACTATTCCTGTTATGGAGAAACTCAGAACAAGCATCACAAGGCAGAGGACACCGATTGATAAACCTACGTAGGAGGTACACTTTTTGTCAAGGTCAAAAACGATCTGATGGATGTCTTTCAAGAAACGTTGTCTGTTGCTGTCATCAACGCAGATCATGCTATCAAGACCAGGTAATTTAAAAGAATTATCTATCATCCATTTCAGTGAGGTCAATGTCAAGCAACTGCATTTGAAAGGGTTGTCATTAAAGTAGAGTTTTAAAATCCCTTCTCAGCATGCATCTGACTTGATGGTGCAAAAGCGATGGAACTTCATAAAAAGCGTTTCTTGATAAATTGATGGTTGTCATATTGAAATAATTGATTATTTCGATTTTCCACGACATCAGAACCTAATTTTAAGATTTGAAGCCGACTGTTTTGTTTGAAAATTAGCTTTGGAAGTGAACTGATGTTATTATTTAATAAGTCAAGGTGTTCCAGCAAAGGCATTTCACCAAATGTGGAATTCTTGAGGGTATATCCAAGATAATTGGAACTGATATCCAGATAGTTCAAGGATGGAAAGTATGAAGAAACTCCTTCAGCAAGGTGTTCGCAGAAATTGTTAGAAGCATGTACTTTTTCTAGGTGTGTTAATCCTGTGATGGGACCCGTGAACGAGGAAAAAAAAGTTAAACGATATATCTATCTCCCGAATTTTGTTTTTACCAATTTGGAAACGTACGATTTCAAAGGCCATTTTTGAATTACTTGCATCCATAAATGTAACCTTTGGAGGCACATAAATTGTAACATTTCCCGGAAAAGGTTTGTCATATCTATCTAGTTGAAGAAGGTGACGTGAATGAAGGGTTGCGTTGTCAAAGAAGGATATTGATGATGTACCTTGATGCGACGCATCTTGCCACTCCAAATGTGTTAACACAGACATTTCCATCAGGTAAAGCCGAAACGAAAGGTGATTCTTTCTGACAGACAATCTTTTGAGAGATGTTGGGAGGTTAATCTTTAAATTTCTATCAATGATTTCTATTTTATTTCCGTTAATGTACAATTCTTCTAATTTTTGTATTCTTTAGATATTTGACATCTTCAACTGTCAACAGTGTACTACGCCCCATCATTCGGCCTATTCTATTTACGTTTAGTGTTCTCAGAGACGAATTCTGCAGTCCATACATAGCTTGTCCCATTTTCGTAATTCCCAGATATATGTTATGTGACACGAGGAGAGATGTAAGATTCTTTAACACTTCAAAAGATGATATTTCAATGTCAATCAACAGACAGTATGACACGTCTAGAATCTGTAAGTGAGGCACATTCTCAAATGTGTCGTTCCTCAAGTAACGTGTGTAACATGTCCTAAACCCACCCCCTAGTGATAATGACTGGAGCTGTTTCAAATTCTTGAACCCCTTTCCAAAATATAGTTCTTTCGGTCCATCAATGTGTAGATCTTGTAAGGACACTAAGTATTTGAATGCACAGCCCGGGTAGACATCACGTCCAAAATTACTCCAAGCATGGCGAATGTCGTTCTGAATGGAACTAGAATTTGAGCTGGCTTTCAATGCAACTTCGAAGCGTCGACTTTCCACTGTTCGGTTCAAGCTTTCATCATAAGGACGAGATTTAAAATTAAGGTTTAGAAAGAGTGTTTTAAGTCTGGCCTGATGTTTGAACAGACCGTCACGATATACCTTTGTTGGAGATAAATGATTGTTGGAGAGGTCCAAAGCTTCTAGGTTTCTTAGTTCTTGAAAGGCGTCAAGTTCAATACTTCGAAGCACAATGTACGATACATCCAACCTGGTAAGATGTCCATAACTGAGAGATCCATTTTCCAAGCAATGGATGTGGTTTGCTGAAAGATTGAGATCAGTTATGTTGGATGGCAGATGTGATAGGACTTTGTCAAGTTTCTGATGTGAACAATTAGCTATTACCCTCCCTCAATCGTAATAACATGTGCAAGGCACACACTGATCTTGATTCACATGTTGACGTGCGTGACTGCTTGCATCTTGGACTGCATTATTACGTGTATCTTGAACTGCAGTATTACGTGTATCTTGGACTGCAGTATTACGTGTATCTCCACTAGCACCATTACTTTTATCCTGATGTTCAACGTAACTTGTATCTTGAGTTGCAACGTAGCTAGCATCTCGACCCGCAGCTTGGGATGATGTGATAACATTCTTCGACAATGGGAGCTCCAGCAGTAAGACCAGCACCAGAAGGTTCTGAAAGTAGCATATACAAACATTATTCGCAGACAAAGCCGTGAAGGAGAATACTTTTTCTCAGATTTGCCAAGCGTGCTGAGAGTAGCTCATACTCCCACTGGGCCATGTTGAGGTGATTACCAAGGCGCCAGGCTGCATTTGCAGGCTTTGTTGTTGACGAGTGGGAAGAAGCACGATGGAAGGCCACCCAGTCTCAGAAGGTGTTTATCAATAATAGATGCAACATGGATTAGATTGTCGTTACCTGTTATCCTAAATATGGCAATTTAACGGATATTATTAACTCCTCATGCATTGTATAATTAAATAGAACTTGGATGGGGGTTGAGAATTGATCATAAGAATGTATTCACTAAGTGCCACCAAGTATTGGTTCCTTGCGCATTATCTTACAGTGATATTCTCAGTCCGTTAAAAGCCTTGGTGTGAAATGAACAACCTTCATATGATGTAATTAATAATTGTATTCTTAACTTAACTAAGTTAACAAATCAAAACTAGGGCACATTCTTCAAAAAGCGAAACACATAAACCATTTTAGAAGATTTAT